CCCAATTCTCGTCGATCCTCGCCGCGGGCAGCGGGTAGCGAAGGCAGCGCGCTGCGGTCGCCGGGAGCAGGGAGCCCTGGGCGCCCGCTCCTCGGCGCAGCATGTTTCAGCCGGCGCCCAAGCGCTGCTTCACCATCGAGTCGCTGGTGGCCAAGGACAGTCCCCTGCCTGCCTCGCGTTCTGAGGATCCCATCCGTCCCGCGGCGCTCAGCTACGCCAACTCCAGCCCAATAAATCCGTTCCTCAACGGCTTCCATTCGGCCGCTGCAGCCGCCGCCGCGGGCAGGGGCGTCTACTCCAACCCGGACTTGGTGTTCGCCGAGGCGGTCTCGCACCCGCCCAACCCCGCCGTGCCGGTGCACCCGGTGCCGCCGCCGCACGCCCTGGCCGCCCACCCCTTACCCTCCTCGCACTCGCCACACCCCCTCTTCGCCTCGCAGCAGCGGGACCCATCCACCTTCTATCCCTGGCTCATCCACCGCTACCGATATCTGGGTCATCGCTTCCAAGGTACGTGCCACGTCGCGGAGCTGAAGCGCGCCGTTCCGGTTGCCTCCTTAACGGGGCCGGGCCTGCTCCGGGTGGGCTCTCCTGGAGGCCTGGGAAGAGGTTAGTCAGTGTGGTGAGTTCTCAGACCAGACAGCTAGGGGCCCGCGTGGCGTAGGTCCCCAATTTCTGAAGTCGAGGTTCGTTTGGGTTATTAACTTGTCCACCACTTAACGTCTTGGAAAGGGGTACGAACCAGGTGTCCGGTGGTATGCGCCGGGGTCGGGCTGGCTGGGATCAGCTGCCTGCGGGCGAAGTCCGCTGTCAAGAAGCCCTGATCCCACAAGGTCCCCAGAATTCTGGTCCCCTGAACCGTTTCCCCGGCCGATCTACTGTATCTCAGGGATTCAAATCGGGCCACATGGCCAGGTTTACTGGACTGTTGATCTCCGCTCTATACCCACTCCACGCCCCTCCAGCCCAAACCAGAGACTTTTAGGTCTTCAAACCCTTTATGTAGGCAAAGGGATGTTCGAAACCTCAGCGCAAACTGTTTCCTTCTTCCAGCTCTGGAGGCCCAAAGTGGGGCGGAACAGAGCAAGTAGAAACCTCCGCAGCTCCACTGGCTCTCCCCTTGACCTGTTTAACTGGGGGATCCCGCAGGACGCGGCGGGAAGGCAGGTTCCGGCTGGTTTCTGTTTGGTTTATTTTTTCTTCTTTAAAAAAGAAGAAAGAAATTAAGAAAAAGAAAAGGGAAAACAACGTAATCGAAAGAAGGCCCGACAATGGGAAATTTGTTTGGGCGTCTTCTTTTTTTTTAATTTCCAATTTATTAATTTTGTTTGCTTCTGGGTAGGGATTGGTAGGAAAGGTAAAACTTTAGGAAAAGAGTATTTAGTTTGTCGATGGAGACCAGAAAGCACCCAACTCAGGTGGGGCAGGATCAATACCAAGGGGCTGCGTTACTGTCAGAGTCTAGAATCGGGTAGCTGCCACCTCAACATTTTATATATACACATATGCATATACATATGTATATACATTCAAAAACCCTCAAACAAAAAGAAATAAACAAAAACACAAACCAAAGCAATACACCTTTCTCTTTCAGTTCACTACTGAATTTACCTCCACTCCCGCTGGGAAAATCGGATGTTTTTTTATTGTTTGGGTTTTGGTGAATAGATTTACTTTCTTTAATAAGAAAAGCCGAAATACCCCAGACTTGCCTTCAAAGTTTAGGGCTCAGCTTCCCCATTCTCGGCCAGCTATGTTTTTGGTCTCCCTGCCACATCAGGAGCAGCCGGGATCTTTGTGGGCCGAAGGAACATCGCGGCCGGTACTTGCGACTCAGTCACCCCTAGTCTCCTGTTCTTCCACTCTCCTCTCAGCTTTCTGCAGCCCAACAACCCCAGAACCGAGTACTCTAGAGGCAGTCTCCTTAGAAACCGGGCATCCTCGCCTCTGGCCCGGTTGTAACGACTAGACCGGCCTCTGCAATTTCCCAGCGAGACAGCAGACAGAAATTCTTGAATAAATTCGTGAGAAAACTGTGGGTAGAGTCCCGCCGTTCTTTCCACGCTTAAGTCAAAAATTTAAATAGGCTAGAAACTAGGCAATCTCTTATTCTTATTTTTGGATGGTGGGCATCAATCTCCTCGCCCGGGATCTCCTGACTTCTGCTCCCGACACACCCGGCATGAAAGTATCCAGGCCTGCGGTGCCAGAGCAGTTGCGGAGCCCGCGGAGATTCGGAGACTGAGGACCTCAGAGACAACCGCTAGTTGGGTGCCGCCCAAATTGGAGCCCCGGGGACCAGGGTCCGGCGGTTCAGCCGGTGTCCTTTTCAAAAGCCCAGGGAATGCCACTGGCCCGGCGGGTTGGGCGCTGCGGACTAGTCAGAGGCCCAGGGAACTACCCGGGCCAGCCCGGCTCCAGAGAAGCCTACGACTAGGGCCTGGGAGGCCCCCTAATGGTACTTCTGTTGTGCACCCTGCAGGGAACGACACAAGTCCCGAGAGTTTCCTTTTGCACAACGCTCTGGCCCGAAAGCCGAAGCGGATCCGAACCGCCTTCTCGCCGTCCCAGCTTTTAAGGCTGGAGCACGCCTTCGAGAAGAATCATTACGTGGTGGGAGCGGAAAGGAAGCAGCTGGCGCACAGCCTCAGCCTTACGGAAACTCAGGTGAGTGTGGCCCAGCAGCTAGGGTACCCCATCCAGATCCAGGCAGACAGTGCCCGGTACACCCACCAGTGCTGAGCTCCGAGAGGGTTCGTGGAGTGTATTTCCACGCCAGAGCTCCGAATTGGTAACTTTCCAGGTGCTTGGCGTTGTTAGGGCAGTATGAGCTGCAGGGATGAGTTCGTTCTTCGGCTCCGCTGCGCAGGCCCCGGGAAATCCAAGCCAACCCACCTCTGTAGTTTTGCTGAGAGTTTTGGTGAGACTCACGGAGGCTCAACTGGGATATAAGATATGGCTAATTGCAGCAGGGTGTTCTGGTGACTAGGGTACAAGGCTGGCGAAGGTAGGGAATGGTTTTGATACAGGTTCTGAAAGATTCTCCACCCACCCGATTATTCTTCTTAAGGGAATGTCGGGGAGTCAGAAGCCGGAGGCCAGGCAGGCTGGGCAATCCTGAAAACTAGACGGTTCATAGAGAGATAGCCTTAGGGGACACGGCCTTCCCTACGCAGCAAGTGTTGGCAGCCTAGCTTGGGTTAGTCCCAAGGCGGGGAGGGGGTTTCAGTCTACAGTAGGAGCTACCGGGCTCCCAGACGCGAGGCAGGGTCAAAGTTCTCAGCAAACAGTAGTAACGTTTGGGGGCAGAGTAAGTTGTACTGCTTTTTCTGAGAAGCTCAAATCGAGGTTTTTGTTTTTGTTTTTGTTTTTTTAAAGTTTTCCCTCCATAGGGTGTGGGGGGGGGGAGAAATAACAAGAAGACCTTGCGGGTTTGTGCAGGGCAGGCAGGCACAAGGCAAGGCCCAGCTGATTTCTCCTGGACAGCCTGGGCAGCGGTGGTCTTTGTCCGCCTCGCTGCCCACACTGCCTGGAGTCTTTGTGTGCGTGTCAAGCCCTGAGCACACCGACGCACGCTTTGGGCAACGCATGGGTGGGGGTTGCGGGGGGAGTGAACCGTCCTTCTCTTTAATTAGCAAACTCAAAGCAAATTAAACTCAGCCTTGCTCAGACTCTGCTTTTTCACGGGGTGGGGCACTTTGGGGGACAGGAGCATTGGGGAGAACAAGCAGGACCTCATGGAAGTCTTAAAGGTGGGAGTGAAGTGGCATCTCAGTAGCTCAAGGGCTCTGACTGGGCCACCGCGATCAGGGCACGGGCTGCAGTTACTACTGTCTTCTTCCTCTGTAACCACATTGCTGGGCAAACTTGGGCAGAGCTGCTGAATAGAGCGTCTCCTAACTTCTCCACGGGGCGCTTGATGGCAGCTGACTTCAACCTCAGCGCTTCAGAGACTCTTAGCTGCAAATTCCAGGGAGGGTCCAGAGGGAAGAGATGTGGCTGAAGTTGAAACTGACCCTACCCTGTTTGGGGACTGGATAGAAGCGGAGGGAAGAGGCGCTCTTCTTCTCCCTCCTGTTCAGTTTCTTTTACTTCCTTCCTAAGTCACAATCTCCCTGAAGCGTTCACTTCAGCCAGGCCCCGAGTGAGGCCTGTAAAGTCGCTATCCACTGGACTTCTTCTAGTTCTGCTCACCTGCCAGTATCCCCCAGCAAGGCCCGAGTACAGGCAAACCCCTATCTTTTACACAGGCCTTGGCCTGGCAGAAGAGGTGCTATATTTAGGCAACTTCAGACTGACAGAAAATAGAAAGCCCATTAGGCCCGGCGGAGACTGAAGTCTTTTCTGCAATCACTGACTGGGCAAGCAAGAAATATACTTTATTTTTTCCTTATTTAATTATTTTTTAAACAAAGTTTTGCATGCTTTGCAAAAAGCT